CAACTAGTAACCAATGCCAAATCTGGCAAAACAACTGGCTGCTGTGATACAATTGTATAATAAGAACAACAACTATAAGAATAATAGTATTGTTTTATTATTGCATTTATATTTTTCTCAAAAATGTAAGGTTACTGGATAAAGTATGATGTAACTCAGATCTCTCTCATCCAAGTGAGTGGGGGAAACAACTTCAATAAAGTAAGAAACACAAATTCACATATTGTGCTACATTTATTTAAATGAAAACAACAAAATGATCTTTATGAAACTAATATAATTATTCCTTGTTGCAAGTATAGATTAGATACTGTTAGTAATGATAGATTGCAAGAAAACATTACGAGGTGGTATCTGAAGCAATTAGATGCAACCTGTATCCTATTATTAATATATTCAGGAATATATGAAATAATTGACAATGTATCTTACTACCCTCCTCTACAAGATCACAAATCAGGTACTACATGGTCTAGCTTCCTGGAAAATGATATAGCAATTCTTTCAGAAACCTTGTCCCAAAGTGGCAATATTAATTAAGAGTAACTTACAAAAGCAAATTTCCTAGCACAATTATGTACAACTTCATTTCTATTTCTAGATTGTTGAGTGTCATAAATTAAACACAAATTAATCTCTGCTATCTAGGGCTACTAAAATGTACACTCACTACAGAAAGAAATACAACTAATTTTCTGTGCGTGTGAACACGTGTATCCATATTGTAAAAGAATTCCTGAAATCTGCATACATATCTGCTTGATATTTCATCACAATTCTCATTTTTGCATTTAGAAAATGCTATGGTAAGTTAACACTATTTAGGAATTGATGGTCCTTTATGCTATTTATAGCATCAACAAAAGTAATTTTGTTTAATACGTTAATCTTGATAGTGTGAACTCATTTTTTGAACATATGGCATCTTAGAAACACACTGTCACAGGGGCTACCAAAAGCAGCAAAATACAAAAAGCAAAAAGGGATTGTTGATTTTTGTCAATAAACTCTCAATAGTATATTGTTCAATTGTACCTGAAATTGTTCAGTGAAATAATTGTTCTTTGGTCCCGTCTCTGTTTTCCAAGCCTCTCACTGCATTGGATTCATCAGTTTTCTTCCAAATTCATTTTCTGAAGGTAAAAAACAAATAATAAATTCATGGCTAAATAATAGAATAATCATTCATTATTATTTTTTGCTCTTATTGTGAGAGAGCAGGCAACCAAATATTGGGCTGGAGAGAAGGATCATAATATCATACGTACTTAAGTCAATGCTTGTAATAGCAAAATTGCTACAAAGATCCACAACAGAGCCAGAATCTAGATTGTCATTTTTTTAAAAAATTGAAACATGGAGTCTAAAACAGCTGAATGAATTTAAAAATACGTCTTATATTCAGTTCATCATGATTTAATTTGTAAATCTAGTGCAGTGTACATATATTTCTTCCAATATTCAAATGTGTCCATGTTATGACTGCTATTTTTTGTAGTCTTTTGTAGTTGTACAAGAAATTAATGTACAGAAATTATTATATTGCTCTTATAAAATATATAATTGATGCTCCTAGCCAGTAAAGGCTCATTAGTTTATATTCAAATTCAAAACAACATAAAAAGTATTTAGTGTATCTTCTTGCTTCAAAAACCCGAGTCTAGATTTCAGAATGAAATTTAGGATTTTATATGAAGTTGAAGAAAAAAAAACTGAATTAAAACTTCATGCAGAAATACTGAATGTATGTTGTTTTCAGACACGGAAAACTAAATTTGACTGGAGCGAATTTTCATACTTTGGTAATTATCTATTTCTCCCCAAAAATGTTACGTAGGAAAAAATAATTTCCATGTATTACAAGAAGAGATTGAAATTAAAGGACCAATTGTTTAACCAGAACGACTGTATTGAGCTCAGAAACTGATCAAAGGCAGGTGACATGAAACCACGTTGGTTCAATCTTAGGCATTCTTCTCTCATGATGTTGGCTGACATTCAGGGATGATGGCTTTCTAATCTACATCTCTCTTAAACAACTGCTACAATATTACCTTTCTATTGTTAAATTTATGTCCAATTTGATGCAAATGTAATACTCCAATATTGAACATGAGGCATGTGTATATATGAATATACAGACATGTTATTCTACTCTAGTACTAAAATTAATCAAATATTGGATTTAAAATTACAAATGACTCGAAAAAGTCCTGCATAGAGATAGTCCTTGACTTATGACCATAATTGGGACCTTAATTTCTGTTGCTAGGTGAGGTGGTTGTTAAGTGAGTCACACCCAATTTTATGAGCCTTTTGGGCCATGACTGTTATGCGAATCCTTGCAGTTGTTAAGTGAACATATAATTTGTAAGTGAAACTGACTTTCACCATTGACTGATTGTCGGAAATCAGCTGAAAAAGTTGCAAATGACGATCACATGATCCCTGGACACTGCAACTATTGTCAACATATGCAAATTTCCAAACACCCAAATTTTGATCACGTGACTGTGAAGATACTATGATGGTTGTAAGTGGGAGGATTGGTTGTAAATATTTAAATGCCTCTGTAACTTCGAACAGTCGCCAAATGAATGGTTGTAAATCAAGGACTACTACCTGCATTTGATTCTGCGTGTTGCAAAGCATCTCTTTCAAAGGATTTATGCACCTCTAGTTCTAACATTATTGAACTTTTTTCTATAGAACTGTAGAAATCTGTAAGTTTCCTGAAGATACTTATGGCTCTCGCAATACAGAGTCTACAAATAATTGTCATAGTGAGTTCTTCAATGTAAAGTTTTCTTACAATAGAGCTGTGATGTTAATTTGCCACCGTTACAATCTGTTTGGAAGTAATGTGTAGAGCAATTAATTTTTTTTTTTAAGGCAGGACATACTGTTCAAGGTTACCAAGCACAAAGCAGCATTAAAAATTCCAAACATCTGTGATAAAGACTTAAGAAGCATTATTAAAACAAGAACAGGTGATTCGTTTAAACCTTTTGTTTCTGATACGGAGCTCTTTATTCAAATGTACTAATTAGACACGATATATGACAATAGGAACAGATATATTAATGGGCTGCAGTGGAATATGTCAGGAAAATAAAGACATGTTAGAGACTCAACCATCTATTTATAAGCAATTCAATTCTACGACATAACCATACTATACATCTTCCGAGCTGATATTTTATTAGGTTGCTTATACAATTTTTTTTTCAAAGGGTTTGCTTAAAAAATGAAATATTTGCGACTAAAGATATTTCCATGTTTTCATTTGGTATTCATAAGAATACCAAAGTAAAACAAAACTGGTAACACAATTAACAAATCTTATTTTAATATAGTCTATGAAGATTAAACAGCTGGATATCTAAATTGTTTTAGGTACATAACTATAAATGCCCACTAGAATTTTTTCCCCAGTGCCTCTTCATGAAAGATTTAAACTTTCTTTTGCAAAATCTATTGCAACACTAAAGTGTTGCTTTGCATACAATAATGAAATAAATAATTTTATGTTTTCCAGATTTTAAGTCCCTTCTGTAATAGTTGAACATGTTTTTAAAAATATATCAGCAAATGCAAATGTATTACAATATTAGTATATTGATTTATTAATTAATAGCAAATAATTACAGTGATTAGCATATTAATTCATCTAAATGCAACCAGGTTTATATAATCTTGGGATATTTCAGAAAAATAAGCAAAATCCTCAATGTTTTCAATTATTCCTGAACCAGTTTAATAATTGTATCCACACTGTCTGCAAACCCCCTACTTCACACATTTACATCCATTTTTTCTCTTTTCAAGTCAAACCAGAACACGGCTTCTACTAAAATAACTCTGCTTACATATATCCCTATGTACAGTATATGTGTCCATTGATAAGATGCACAAATATAGGCACTGAAACAGTGAATTGAGGAAAAAGTTACTTTTAAGTGGGGAATAACTAGTCAAATAACTATCCAAGTTCAAAAATTTCAGAACTGCATTTATGATACAACTAACCATTACAAAAGAGAAAAGAGAATGTCTTACATCAATAGAAACAATAAACAAACAAACCAAGATATTAGAGAACGTAGCCTTTGCCAACCAAAAATGAGTGAAGGATAGTAAAGTTTTAAAGAAAATATTGGTCCATTTGTGTTAAATGATAATAATTATAACCCTGTTTCATGTATGAAGAAATATAAAGAATTTCATGAAAAGGATTGTTTATAGATAACAAAAAAAACATTAGATAGAGGCTACCTTCTAGTCTTTCAAATAGTTGGGAAAACATAGTAGATAGATACTGTATATTGTTTGGTATTCCAGATTTTTATTATCAACAAAAACTCTTAAGCACTCAGAATTGAACCCCCATTGAAAGCATCTATGTAAAGATGGAATGAGAGATAAATGAAAGTAATAATGTTATTACTTTGCTGTTGTACATTCCCAACTGTGAGACATAAAGTGGCATTTTCCTGGAACTTATGACAAAACTTTTACAAGAGGAAGCCTAGCAGTAAAGAGTGATCAAAACTGTAGCGACACCTACTGAAGATTTAACTCTGGGGGAAAAAAAACCACTCTTTTTAAGTGGTTCACTGACAATTTTATCCACTCAAGAGTGGGAAAGAGAAACATTTGAATCTGTCGCTTGGACCTGATCCTGTGTGGCAGAATAAGTAAAATTAGACGGGCCCTGGGAGAAATTGATGTCATCTTGGAATCTGTAAACGTTGAGTTTAGTTAGAGGTGTATCCTGAACTTCAGCAAAGGTTTCAAATACCTTAGGAAGATGGCTCAGATTTCATGTTTATGCATTAAGAAAGAAAAAAAATATTTATCAAGAGTTGAGATATAAGGAAATACAAAACGGACAAGTTTCAACCCATTACATGAAAACAAAATGGAGGGGGGTGTATGGATGTCACTAAATGGATGCATGGGAACGATTTGATGACCATCAGCTTTTAAGTTCCATCAGTATTAGTCTATCAAGTAGGAGCCGAGGTGGCGCAGTGGTTAGGGTGCATTACTGCAGGCCACTTCAGCTGACTGCAGTTCTGCAGTTCAGCGGTTCAAATCTCACCGGCTCAGAGTTGACTCAGCCTTCCATCCTTCCGAGGTGGGTGAAATGAGGACCCAGATTGTTGGGGGCGATATGCTGACTCTGTAAACCACTTAGAGAGGGCTGAAAGCCCTATGAAGCGGTATATAAGTCAGTCAATAAATAAATAAATAAATAAATAAATAAATAAATAAATAAATAAATAAATAAATAAATAAATAA